ATCTCGATATTTGCAGCGGCAGTTTCATTTTGATAATGAGTTATTTCTAATATTATATTTTTTATAGAAATCTTAACTTGATTGATATTTTTTTTTTTAAAAAATGCCTAAAATGAATGAAATAATAAAATAGTGTTATACTTTTGCGTAATTTTTTAAATATTTTATTATATGATTTTTTTACTTTTAAGTACTTGTTTTAAGTTTATGTTCAATGGATTATATAAAAATATTTAAAACTATAATTTTTATCATGAAAAACGCTTAAAACATGACTACAAAATATTATCTAATTTTGAACAGTAATATAAAAACTTTCCAAAAATTTTATACCTTTTTCTTTGATTACATGTGAATTGTTTATATGCTCATACTTATTACTAGTACTCTTAATTAAATGCATATTTAATATTTTAATTAAGCAGAGATTTAATTTGAATAATTATTTTCTCTGTTAACTTTTAAAATGTTATTACTATTTTGACATTTTTTTTTATTTTAGGTGGGAACTAAGATGGTGGATGTAAAGAATGTGCTTTGATAGAATACCGTTTTACCTAAAACTTTTGTCAAACATTTGTTTCAGAGAAAGTTACGTCGAATTGACTTCCTTTTTTCTTCTCAGCCAATGAGCGGTTTTACAAACATAAATTACAAAGTTTTGCTACTTCTCTCTCATACGTGTTATAATTTGTAAATAAATATTTATTTTTGAATTTGTTTGCTTTGGTTGTTTCATATTGCTATTTTACTAAGACAGTAATTAGTTTAATTTTGAAGAAAATTTTTCTATAAGCACAGAGTTTTTCTATAAGAAAAATATTTTTCAAATTCTATTACCAAACTTTACTTTCTGTTTATATTACTTATAAAATATTTATAATTCATGAACGAAGTAGACATTACATTTCTATAATACATTTCTTGTAAATTTTATCTTATTTGCGTGCTCAATATTAAATTATTACATTCTGCGTCTTTCTTGTAAGAAATGTGCAAGCTTTAAGCGAGTGAAACATTTGTAAAGAGAAAATGATAAATCATTGAAATATTTCCTTTTTACGATTTAAGAGATTTTAAGAAATAAGAGGGTTCGATCACTTTAAAAGTGAGAAAACGGTGCAGAATGCTTTTTTTAGTTTATATAAAACATTATCCCATTGCTGCTTTTTATTCATCATTGTTATTTTTTTTACAAAACTATATTTAAAAAAGGAAGACAATATATAAATTAAACACTGCTAAAAAATATAAATCCATTATAATTTTAAGTCAGAACATTTCATTGCTTTGTTAACCGTAACGGAATGGAAGATTTTCTGAATTTTAAAAATAATAAACTGAACTTGGCATAGAGAAAAAACCCAGTTAACCAAAAAATACGGAATGTGTAATACAATAAGAAGCAATAAATGAGAAAAATTTTTTATTGTTAACAGTGTATAACGAAAACCTTACGTCATATAACAGTTCAAGTTGGAAATGGCTTTTATTTCTTATGAGTATTTTACATTTGTAAAAATTTTGATATAAATGTTAAGATTTGTATCTGGCATCATCTATTCTGACACACTTTTATTTTTTATTTTATTTTATTCCTTCTATTTTGGATGTCACGTCAAGCGCGAGCTTGTAAAATCTCTTGTAAGTTCTCGCAAGAGAAAAATAAAATTTTATACAATTTCACTTAGAAAAAAAGTGTGGTCAAAACTTCCAGAATATGGTAAAATTTACCATGTTTCTGGCTCTATGGGAGCACCAAATAGCCTGGAAATTTTTGCGGAAGTGCTTTGGTAATGATTTTGGCAAAATTAATCACAATGAAATACGATTTTTTGACGTGTAATATTGTTTCATAATTAATTTATAATTAAATTGGTAATTTTATCATGATACCTTAGAGAATGACATAAAAACCATATATTCGGTTAAATTTACTTCTAGGTTTTATATTTTTCACTAAATGAGTGATAGTAAGAAGTATAATTTTGACAATCAGAATTTCCAGTTAACCGTTTCCGCATAAACAGAAACATAACCAAAAGAATGATTTAAATACCGCATATTTTTTAATTGCGTATTTTTTTTTACCAGAAATCTGTTCTATAATTTTATCAGATTTTTTTCTCCGGGTAGGAGTCCCCGCTCATCAACTCCTGTAATTGCTTCGTATTCAGTATTGTTGGTTTTTTTAAAGTTAATATTTTTCTTGGAAACAAAGTACATTTTGTGAGTAAATTATATAGTCATTATAATTTTATGTAAGAACAAATTTTTAAATCGAAAATCATTACGCAATGAACAATTTCCTAGATTTACAAAATAGCAAACTGTTCTCGAGAAGAAATAAGCAAAATTAGAAAGACAGAATATGCGATATAATAAGCAATGATAAATGAGAAGTAATTTTACTGGTTGACGAGATTTGCATCAATTAAAATAGAAAACGGTTTTTATATCACTTGTATAATGCTTAGTTAATTTTTAAAAATTTAATCACAAATGTTAAGAATTATATCTGGCAACATGCAATCTCTCTCATAATATGTGATTTTATTGACATCAACTCAATTGCGAGCTTATATAAGAAAGAGCTCGGGAGGAAAAAATAAATTTCTCTATTTCAATGAATAAATAGTCAATGTAAAGAAAAAAAAATTGAGAAAAATTCCCGAAAACTTTTGAAATTTCAAAAAGAATAGCATAAAATCATAAATAAAAATGGCTCATTCGAAATGTTAAATATCACATCTGTAGATACTTTACAGCAGGGTTGGGGATCAACTACAACAGTACCTCTAGCACTATTTTTTGAACTTATTATCGAATGTTAAATAGTAGTATTTCATCATACTGCTTGTGTGTTTTTCTACAGTCTATCATAAATTTAAATTTTTAATTCTATATAGTTTCTATGCAACAAAACAAAATGTAAAATAAAGGAATAATAAGGAGGAAAAGCATTCAAAACTTAACTTAACTTTAAGGCTTAACTTAAAGCATTTAAATTGCAAAACTTTTGAACAAATCAATATTTTTTAAAAAAAAGTCGTATTAAGTTCATTAAAAAATGCGGCCCTTTCAGAACATTGAATTTCACATCCGTAGTTGCATTTCTACGAGGTATAGAGTGGAGCAGGAAATATTTTTATCTGTAAGTTAAGCAGCTTATAATTCACGAGAGTATTATCGGATTTAGAATTTTCAGTCTAAAATTATGGTAAAATAAGCGTGGGCTGTCTGTCCATCCGTTTAATCGTAAAGATTGTGTTGAATATCATTTTTTTACATTTATGTGCTTGAAACCGTTTACTACTAGTATGACAACAAGAAAAAACCATGATTATGAAACGATACAGTTTTTTGACCATTTACAACTAGCATGGTTTCAAAACCGTAAAAAAGTAATTTAACTGGATATGGGTGCTGGGTATTTCGTTACGTAATGGACATTGGAGTTAAACTGTGGTTGAGTTTTATTTTATGAAATGAATCAGTAGGAGCACATAAACACTTCTTATGCAATTGCAGAAAAGAGTTTCGAAGTTTTCTTGTCGAATTAGTAAATGAAAGTAAGATACGCTATCAATAGCTTGAAAAGTGATTAAGGTTTTAAGTGCAAAAAGCACAAAATTTGGACCATCTGACACTGCTTTCTTGTTGCTATCTCACTTTTTGATATTGCTATCTTTTTCTCACTCACTTTTCTTCCCTTATTCTTATTTAAAATCACAGTACTTTTTTGTACTGTGATCACAGAATAACTTTTATAGTTTAAATTCTTCATGTATCAAAAAATCGTAAGCGCAGCCACCTCTGTTTTACGTGTTCAACTTTAGGTTGCATTTTGATTAGGACCTTAAAAACTTTAAATCTTATAAATTTGAAATAACAAAGGTGCATAAAAAATATACTGAGAGTATGATGAAATGAAAAAAAGTGCAAACCTTACGCTTTTGGAGGAAGCTAATTTCTGACGATTTGGGGTCTAATATTTTAAAACAGTTTTCGCCAGAGCTCAATATTTTTCCGCATTTAGCATTTTTATTTATTTATTTTTTTTTTGCGATACGGAAACATGCCTATTTCTGATGAGCAAAAATATGTTTTTTTATTTATTATAATTCCGAAACTACAGCAACTCATTTTCCCCATTCATTCCCGTTTTGGTAAAATATTTTTTATGGATTAAATTTGCTTACAGCTAAATGTCTTGCTTAAAAAACTCTTACATTTAGTTTTAATAAAAAAAATGTAAAATCTGATGAAAAAATAACGTTTAATGCTTTCATCTTATGTTCCCATAAACAATGTTCAAACAAGTAGGAATTAAATTAATCAAAGAATTGTTTTCATTGCATTCAAATATCAAAGCCTCTGGTCGTAACAAACTAAATAAAAAATCGGGTGAAATAGGACGTTTTGTGATTTATCAAAACAAAAAAAAAACGTAATTTGTTTTATTCACAGACTTTTTCAAAACGAAAGCAAATACGGTCTAACAGCAAAAATAAAAGTGAAATTAATCTTGGCATAAAATTAATCGTACAATTATTTATGGATCTAATATTGAAATTTGTAATTAATTACAACAAATAATTATAATTTTTCAGAATATCAATTTAGCAAATCATCGAAAAATAATTAAATGATAATGAGATAGTGAATGTTACTTTTCATGACTTAATTGAATGCAGTTCATTCAAATTCCTGTTCATCTTAAGGTTATTTCAATAAAATTCCAAATACTTTCAATAAAAACCAGATTTCGCCCAATGTTTAACACTCATTAGTTCAACACTTCTTACACTTTTTTCCTTAACCACGTGTTTAATTACGCCTGCAATTTTAATTAGAGCTTAAAGCCGGCCGGTATTGTTTTTAATTTTAAACAGTTTTGACTACTCTTCCAGATTTTATCAATAAAACCTTGTCCTTCTAAAGGGTGGGGTTTCAGCTTTTAATCAAGTCGTTGTTTTAATACGAGTAATTCACTAACTCTTTAATGAAGGCGACCTTGTGTTATTTGTATAAATACAGAAAGGTGTGAGCAGAGATTATAGTAGAAAGTCTCTCTTACAAACTTACAACATGATCTCTAAGGTAAGTTAAATCAGCTATTTTTTTTATTATGAAAAATCTATTTTTTAATTTAATAATAACTGTACTTAGTTAATCTGCAAAATAAAAATAAATAACTTTTCTTACCCATTACTTTGATTATAAAAACTTATTATTATAAGTTAAGGAATGTTGTTGTTGTCGCGAGTTATGATGTTGCTTTAAAATCTATTGTTATGGTTGCAAAATAAAACAAGTCGTATGACATAACAGTTCATTTAAGAATATTCTTAGATCTTTCAAGAATATCCAAATCTATCTGTATAAAATTAAATAAGTTTTGTAAAACTTCTTGGTGTAAACTTCTTCACAAAATTTCTTTTGTGAGACTTCTTCTTTTCGTAAAATAACATTACGCTTTAATTATAATTATTTAATTAGTATTCATAAAGTTATTGATAAATAACCAATATTCTTATATTCCAAGATTTGTGTGTAATAGCTGATTTTCTTAGAAATTTTAATAACCGGCATGCGCCTCTTTTGCATGTAAACTTAAAACTTAGAAATTTCACAAATATTTTCCCTAAAATATTAATGAAAATTCTATTTTGTTAGATCACTTGTCTTATGTCACCAAGATAAAAAGAAAGTAATGAAACTTACTTACTTTCAATTTTTGGAATTAGCTGCATTTTTATTTGATGATTATATTAAAATAGTGGGAAAAACATTAATGTTTTCATTATTTAATTTTTTTTTACAATATATTTTAAATTATTCAATCAATATTGTAAATATAGTCCCTCTCAGCATTAAAGAAGTAAAAAACATGAAGAGTTATCTTCTAATAATGATATGTGAGACCATTCTCGCCAAGGGGCCATAGATATTTATTCAAAAACAAATAAATGTTTTAGGTATCCATTCTCTTTGCTGTCTTGGCCGCAGCCAATGCTAGTCTCCTCCTAGCTGGACATGGACACCTCGTCAATACCGGTGTCAGTGCACGACAACAAGTTCAAGATGTAAGTATTTTTCTGATTTAAAACTAATTGCTATTAGTATGTTTATTCGAATATAAAATAGTTATGTAATTGTTCTTAGGGACATGGAAATTACGCTTTTGCTTACGACATCAAGGATGGCAAAGGAGCCACCAACTCCAGATCTGAAGTAGGAGATGCTCATGGAAACAAGAAGGGATCATACACTCTCGCTGACATCGATGGACGAGCAAGAAAGGTTGAATACGTTGCCGATGGACATGGATTCAGAGCTGTTGTCAAGACCAACGAACCTGGTACCGCTCACAGTGCTCCAGCTGCTGCTGTCATAGCTAGTCCATACGCTGCTCCAGCTGATATCGCCCACGCTGCACCCGTCGCTCATGTTGCACCCGTTATTGGACATGGTATTGCAGCTCCTTTAGTTGCAGCCGCTCCAGTAGCTTATGGTCATGCTGGTCTCGGATATGGACTTGGACTCGGTTATGGAGCCGCTATTGGTCATGGCGCAGGTCTTGGTTATGGAATTGGTCTTGGACATGGCTATGCTTTTGGAGGACATTATTAAATACATATATATATATCATTTAGGTAAGATATTAATTATCTCATAAAACTAAACTTACTTCGGTGCAATTCAAAATGTAAATATTTGATTCAAAATTATGTACTGAAATATTAAAATTCTTAAGTATGTATCTGATGATACAAAAATACCTCAAGTGTTAACGCGTCATTTCAATAGCAAATAATAACGTAACAATAGCAAATAATAACTATTTTAAGGAAAGCTATGCGTTACATAGATGCTTTCTAACTATCTTTTTATACTCTGCGTAATGAATAATTAACAATTCTTAACACCTTGCAATGGTGTTGTCTAAGGGAATTTATAAAATTTGTATTTATAGAATGTACATTATTATAGAATACTGATTTATAGAATATTGATTATTTTTGAAACGGTCCTACCTTTTTTTTAATAATTTATACCAAAACAAGTCTTAATTTTTTTGGACCTTTAAAATAAACATTAAAGTACAGAAGCTGGAATTTATTTAAGAAAAATAATGCAGCATAATACACATAATGAAAATAATGCAAAGGAGAAAACTAGAAATGAACTTAATCGCAATGTAATTTAATTATAATTTCTTCAGAATTAAGTTAAAAAAATCAGTTATTTCTGCTTACACTTTTCTCAAAGAAAATGTTCACTTCTTTGATATTCTTTTTAAAAATATTTACAATAGTTCTTAAGAAAATGTAATTTTTCATAATTTCTTAGATCTAATACAAAATTTAAAATTTTTTCTCAAATTTATGATTAACTCTAATGGTAAGAAGTACTTAGACTATTTGAGGACTATAGTTTTATATAATTTTAAAATTAATACATAATAGCAATTCGTTAAAAAATTTAATTTTTTAGTTTTTTTAGAAGTATTTACGTTTCGTATTTATTTTTGTTCTGTTGAACTTAAATACCTCACTTCAGTTTTTTTGAACGTTGTTATTTCTGCTCCTTTGAAATTAAATAAGTATAATTCTTTCAAAATTAAAAAGCACTTAAATAAGCATTCAGATATTAATACAGAAATACCGTTTTCTAGCGATTTTGTTTTAAAAAGTCTTTACTATTTCATGTACTAAATCGGAATATTTTTTATTTTAATAGGTGGCCATAAAAGTGATGGAAAGAAAAAAAAATGCTTTGATTGATTGCCGTTTTACCTTTAACTTTAAAAAAAATTTATGCCCAATCAACATCATATGTCATTTACCAATTGGCAATTTAATTTCACTCCCAAATTGAGACTACATTGTAATGCAATTTCTCTCTCATATTTGTTATGATTTGTAAATAAATATTTATTTTTATACATTGGTGTCATGTTAATATTTTTAAGCATTTATCCATAGGGTAATGTCACTTTTTTGGCATTTTGAATTTAAGGATAATTTTTTTAAATGAACATTTCTAAACACAATACAAAATTATATTGAGATTATTTTACGTAACATAAAAACAGTGTACGGATCTTCTAAAACCTTGTAGATACCCGGAAAAAAGAAACTACACATTGTATTGTTATTTTCATACAGTTTACATGCAAAATATTATTATTATTTCATTAATAATCATCATTATATATTATTATCATTAATATGACAAAATTTCTTTTGCACTATCACGAAATCTTAATTCAGTAGCATAACTCAACAATTTTAAGCGTGCATAATTAAAATGATAAGGATAGGTAATGATTGGCTCACTGCTAGAGGGCGAGATAATCACTGATCTAAATAATGAATTAAGAAAAGAGTAGATGAAGAGGAGCTGGATTGTTAGGCTGGTTTTTCCTCTATTCGGGTATAATTCTGCATTTTGGCCGATGTGGGTCCTTACAATTCGCTAATTGTTTTTTCTATTGCGTTGAGTGTTAATTACTATATTGTTTTGTCGCTGTTACTTTATTGGATTTACTTCAAACGCAAAAATGCTCGTCACAGTTGGTATAGTGTGAAAAGCCAACAAAAATTAATTTTCAACTACACGTGCAATTAAAAATTGTTTAAGACTAAGTGACACTTAAACTAACTTTTTAACAAAAGTAAATATACGCACATTTTTTTTACTTTTAACTTATTTTGAATTAGCCTCATTACACAGCATGTTATTTTATCTTTAGTAAAAAATTAATGATTTGACAATTTCAAATAATTGCAAAGGTAATTTCAAAAGCTGACATTTGTCATGTTTATTTAATTAATTTATTTTTATTTCTTTAAAAATTAAAATTTTTCTCACACTGTAAAAAGTTTTTAGTGCATCTCCACTTAAAAAATGGCACCAACTACTTTACAGCAAAGTGGTGTAGTGAATTGCCATACAGTATTCTTGCATCTAGAGTATCACTACACCAAAGTTCCTTAACAGTATTTAGAATAAAGAAGCCGACGCCATTTTAGCTATTCAGTAGCACTAAAATTTATACACAAAATGAGATAAAATATACATAAAAGCCAGTATTTTAGCATTACGAGATAAAATAAGAATTATTAATTTAGAATGCATATATAAAATATATACTAATTTCTAAAATAAAATTAATCAGTAAATAAAACTCAAAGTAGTAATCAGTAAATCAGTAATAAATACGTAGCACCGAGGGAATATTAAAACAAATTCAAGCTAAGTTTAGCAGAATGAATGCGAATGGAAATTATACATTATAAAAATCTTTTAATACAGTTCTCAGATATTTAAATCTAATAATCCTCACAATATTAACACAAAAAAAATGCATTCCTTTTCATACACGACTTTTTGTTTTTTTTGAAGAATATCAGCGTAGAAATTCTCGGTTGCTTATTCTAGACTGTAAACAAGCTACTTGCGATATTCTTGTTTTTGTTTCTTAAATTTTAGCTGTTCAATGCACACCAAAATTGGTGCTATCGGAAGAGAAAATAATTCTCGTATGGTGCGAAAGCGTAAGAGTCAGGTGTAAGATTGTTCATTTTCAAATGTTTAGATTTGAATTAATCCTTTTAAACCCCATATAAACTCACGTTTTGAAACTACACAAAATAAATTGTTCCTTATTACAATTTTCTGGGTTCTTCAGACTTAAAATGATCATCTTTGATCCATTTTTATTCACACAAAAAACTAAGTTGATTTTTGTTAATTTATTATATTTTTCTGATAAATTTCGAATTTTTATTTGCTTTTAGAGTAAATTGTAAGAAAAGATCTTTCTTAAATTAAGTTAAATATCCAAAATAGTCAAATAACCATAGGTAAGATGGTATTCAAACTGGTAACTGTGATAAAAATCGTTTATTAACTGCTTCCACTTAATGTCGCAAAACAACCAGAATTTCATCGCACCTGCCTAATGAAGACACTTAGTTCCTTGAAGCTGGGTAAATATTATAGCCGAGAAAGCTAATTTTTCAATTTTATAACCTAAAGATCACAGGCTCGAGTTCCAGCGTTGACACCACAATATCTTCACATGAAGAGTTTTCAGTGTCCAGAACTCCCCAATTTGTGACCCTGGACTATTAAAATACGATACTCTAATTCAATCATAGATGTGACACCGCTATAAAACTGTTTAACACAAACAAATTCAGTATTTTACATCTCTAATGATATATGAAACATCCAGATAAACTAATTCAGCCACATTCCACGGTTTATATGATAATAAAAATTCATTTCATCAGTCGGTCATCTTAGGCTTTGAACTCAACCACCACCTAGCTTCAATGCCCATTATCTAACGAAAACCTTGACTAGCTTCAATGTCCAGTGAAATTTTTTTACGTTTTTGAAACCTTGCTAGTTGAAAATGGATTAAAAAAAACGTATAGTTTTTTATACATTGTTTTTTAACCATACTAAGTGTAAACAGCTCCAATACCGTAAAGGTAAAAACTGTTCTTTACCGCAAACTTTACGGTTAATTGGATTAACAGACTGTGACTGGCCATTTTACTGTGATTTTAAATTGAAAATTCTAACTGAGCATAAAGCCAGAAACACTTTGCATTTTGCTATAATTCTGGCAGTTTTGACTATGATTTTTTTACTTAGTGCTTTACCCGTAATAAATTAAATTTTTAAATGAACAATAGTAACCATATAATGCATATAATTTTTTTAAAGTGGCTAAAAGTAAAATAAAGGAAAAAGTATAAATTAAAAAGGTCAATTTTGCTTTACCTAAGCATATGCTTTGCCCGTTTATGGTGCAATTAATTACTTACATTTTTTAAACTTTTCAAAAAGCTATTTATCGAAGCGTTGTACTGCAATTAAAATATGAAACTGGTCGATTGACTGAATATGATTCGCCAAAAAAGTAGAACGGTATGAAATCTTAAAAATAAAACATGGTTTTGACAACGCATTTAAAAAAAATGCCGTTTATTTCCTTCTACAATCTAACATATTTACTTCGAAGAAAAAGTTATAAAAAATAATGTCAAAACTAAAACGGATGAATAGATTATAAATCCGAAAATACCATTCAAAATAATGAATCTAAATTGATTGATATCTTGCAATTAATTAATTAAAATGTTTCTAAGCATGTCATGAATTTCAATTTGATTTAATTATTTTAGAATTTTTCATGAATTTATTGAAATACAATTAAATATACGAAAAAAACTAAATTATGTATTGTGTATACAAATTGAAAAATTAAATCACCAGTTGTGGTCAGATTATTTGAAATTGAAAGTTAATTGATAAAAATAAAGGATAGTTGAAATTTACTTCTTCTAACATCTAAACAAAAACAGTCTTCTTTCATCCAGTAGTTAAATAACTCACGACATCTTTTTTGAGCAAAAAGATTACTTTTTTTCACTAGAAAATAACTTTTTGAACTAACTTTTATGTGAATAGATACACAGAGAAACAAAATTCTGGTAAAATTGCCAAGCATTTATGGTAAAAAGAAACATAATTCTGGTATAAAAATAGAAATGTGGGATTTTTAAACCATACATTTGGTTGTTGCCCGTTCGTATTGTAACGATTTACTGGAAATTCTGGTCAAGAAATATTTTTGAAATGGGAAATTTCTTTCAAAGTTATGGTCCTTATTAACACACATTCAGATAAAAATTTACAATTCAAAAGTAAATTTAACCAAATAAATGGTTTTTAGGTCATGCTCTAAGTTATCATGATAAAATTATCAAATTATTATATTATAATTACATCATTGACATTAGTTATTCGCTTCGGTAAAAAGTATCTAATTCTTTAGTTCTCCCATAGAGTCAAAAACACGGTAATTTTTTTTATATTCTCGTATATAAAATATAATATTTTTTTTATATTCTGGTTTATATTTTTACCATACTATTATTTTCTCAGTTTAGTTTGGAGCAAACGAAAAAAAAATCTCTCACTCTTAGTATTTTCCAGCAAAACTAAGAATAAGGTTTAAGTTACGTCAAAAAAGAAAGAAAAACTATTATGCAAAGTTATCTATGATAAGCTCATTTTATGGTTGCATAATCGAGATTTATCGAATTATCATAATTTCAAGTTTGGTTTTTTGACATTTCGCAATCGCACTAGAGTAGCACGAAATATACATTGAACAAAAAAAAAACTAATATGTACTTTATACAGTATGTAAAGTATTATAAATTTCTGGAAAGAAGGAATTTCTGGAATTTTGGTCAACTAATTTTTGTTCTGTTCACTTTAAAAACTGCTTAAATTATAAACATTAAATTTCCAAAAAAATATTTTAATTTGTAAAAAGAACAACTGTAATCATGTAAATTTTGTTGCAACGCAATTGTAAAGAAAATAAGAGAATATAAATACACTAAGAAAGAAAGCACTCAGTAATTATTGTTTGCACTGATAAAACTTCCATTCTAAAACTATGGTAAAATAACCGGTAGCAGTCTGTCCATATAATTAACCATATACCTTTACGGTTTTGAAACCGTTTACAACTAGTATGGTTAAAAAAAACTATGAATACAAAACTATACCACTTTTTAACTATTTATATAATCTCAAAACAGTGAAAAAGAAATTAAACTGGATAGTTTAGCACTTTTATGATGCTGCTATCTTTTAGCGAATGATAGTATCGCATTTAAATAGCCCAGGGTTACAAATTGAAGTTTGCAGAACGCTGAAAACTCTTCACGTGTTGAGGGCAATGGAAGAAGTATTGTGGTGCAACCATCCGTTGGTCGTAATATTGATTTGAACCACAGCACTATAAATCATCGATCCAGTATCCCTAGTGGTAATAATTTGATATGGGACCTTGGAGGACTTTGTAATGGATTGCAACAGTCCCCATTTCGTACACCAGGAGTCTTTGACTTACCAGCCAGACTTTCACGGCCAGAATATTTTCATTTATTAAAGCTAATGGAGGTTCCATTAAATGTTAACTGTAATTAAAATATTTTTAATGTCTTACGTGAAACTTAGAAAAATTGCTATAAATTTTTTTGTGGGAGTTGAGAGTTACAATTAATATTATCTCAAATACAATCTGTAAAGAAATTATAAAATAAAAAATTTAAAAAAAAAAAAAGAAATCTGTGTGAATAAGAATTTTTTATTTACATTTTTAATGTCCATTTAAGCAGCATTTTTTTGTAAATCTGTGCAATCCAAACAGTATTTGATAACAAATAAACATTAATGTATATTATATAATTACATAATTTGTAAAAAAATATTATTAATAATAATATTATTAATAATAATAATTATTATTATTATTAATATTATTAATAATAATATTAATAATTTGTAACATTCAATATTTTTTACCCGAGTTTTTCTTTGAATCAGTGCTATATAAAATCAAATTATTATGGCGTGCAACAGTCACCATTTTGTACACCGGGAGTCTTTGACAGGTGGAGATCGAACTCATAACCTCTTGGTTATGGGTATAAGGCCCTACCAACCAGAATTTCATGGCTAGCAATATAGATTATTTTCCCTTATTAAAGCTGATGGAGGTTCCATTAAATGTTGACTGTAATTAAAATATTTTTAATGTTTTAGGTGAAGCTTAGGAAAATTGCTATAATATTGTTTGTGGGAGTTGATAGTTACAATTAATATTACCTCAAATACAATCTGTAAAGTAATTATAAATACACTTCAATTTATATGAAAAATATTTTTAAAAAAATCTGGGTGAATAAGTATTTTTTATTTACATTTTTAATGTCCATTTAAGCAGCATTTTTTTTTGTAAATCTGTACAATCCAAACAATATTTGATAACAAATAAACATTAATGTATATTATCTAATTACATAATTTGCAAAAAAATAACATTCGATATCTTTTACCCGAATTTTTCTTTGAAGCTGTGCTAAAAAGTCAAATTATAACTTTGCTTATAACAAAATTCATCATTTCAAGCTTTAATTGTTTAAAAATTACGTCTAAATGCTATTATTTCTACGGGCATTTTAAAAGTAATACCTAACATATCCATCTTGAAAATCATATTTTATAAGAATTATCAAAATGGTATTATAATTTCAGAGTTTAACGCTATATTTGTCCAACTAACAGTTGTTTGGAATTCACACACTGTTACATGAATATGTCACAGCACATCCTGCGTCACGATCGTCATATTGTGTTGTAACTTTAACATTTTTGCAAAAATCAAATCAATATTTAGGTACAAAATCTTATTATCTTAAAAATATGAACTATCAAAACAAGACATAATTTTTTTATTTATTTTTTGAAGATATTGTTGTGTTGTTTTCCTTTGATGGCACAAATTTAAGCAAAAATTAATCTTTTTAAGAGAATAGGCTAATAATTTCAGTAAAAAAATTACCTTTTACGTCATTTAACATTAATATGCAAATTGCGAGTTTCTTTACGGATTATGTGAAACGTTTCATGCTAGTTTATTGACTCTAATAATTATGCAACAATTAATAAGGACAAATTTATTTTAAGTGTTTAATTATGCGTTCGTGTTCAATATGCCTGAATTATTACATCTCTGAATTAAGTTAAGGTCACTTTTTTATATCAGTAATTATAATAAAATACCTTAGGAATTAAAAAGATATACACCCTGAACTAATCTTCGTAACGCCACGCATAATTTGTCAATTTTATTTTTACCTGGGCCTGAAGAGTGACATTATTGTCTTTATTTTTCTCCATTCTAAACTACTTTTCGAGAAGTTTTTGTTCCGTCTTTCTCAAGGGTGCGGCTTTATTTTTAATTTCTTTTACCAGAATATTTTTCCGCTTTTTCCAAACAAGTAGCTCACCAATTTAATTTATGCTGACCTTGTGTCACTTGTATAAATAGGTTGGGTTGAGAGCTTACAATATCACAGAAGTTCGAAGCACTAAACATGATCGCTAAGGTAAGCAGACATGTATCCTAAGTTTTAAAATTTCGCTAAGAATTTCTATATTGACGAATTATCTAATTAAGTATTCACTTTTAATGGAAAGTAAAAATTACTTATCTATTTCATTTTAGTTAGCTTTCGGAAACCCTAAAGTAAAGTTGTTGTTTTTTATTAATTTTATAATTACTCAAAAAAGAAACATAATCTTTTTTTTATAAATTTTAGTCTTTACTGTATAGAAAAGGTTTAAAAAAGTTTATTTAATGTCTCAAGGTCTTAAAAAGGATTGAAATTACCATTAGTTAACAAGTTTTATGAAGGAAAAAAGCATAAAATTTTATAATTTTTATGGAATATTTGGATAAATAATTTTTACTGCAAAGCATTGTTGTAGCAAAACTTATATGAAAATTATCAATATTATTTATTAAAGTATTAAAATTTGAAAACTTTAACTATATCTTGTTTATTTTATCACGTTAGATACCAATTGACAGATATTGAAAAAAAAAGGCGTTTTTTTTTCAAAACTAGAATAATCCACAAAAATAAAACATTTATTTTTATATAATTTAAAAAAATATCAGTTTCATTTTACATAATATACTGTGTGCTCCGAATACTATTTTCATTTATTTTCTTTTTAATAAAAATTTACTATAAACCCTGTTAGCAGAATTTAGCAGTTCTGTAGCACTAACTTGTTAGCTGAACTGTAGCACTAACTTCATAACTTCTAATTTGTCTGCGTCCTTAGTGCCGTCTGACAGGGGGTTATTATAGCAAAAATGATCTAAAATGCAAGCAGTGATATTTGCAAACATAAGGTTCTTAAAAATTATGCTAAGAAAATTTATGCTTTATAATCTCTAGTTTCATTTAATACAACGATTCTACAAAGTTGGAATAAATTCCTGTACAGTTAAGCCTGTAATCAAGTAGCAGGCAAAAAAAATCTTTACATTTTATTTTTTGCGGTGTAGTGTATATTCAGTTTTCAAAAGAAGCAAATTTTCAGATCTGAATAATTACTACCCATTTGTTTTTTTAATAGAAAAAAATAGTTATGAGAATGCAGATACAGTTATATCCTGTAGTGTTCTTTCTCATACCAATAAATAAAACAGCTGCACTTACTTTTCCTATTAAACTGCTTCTATTTTCAGTAAATGAATCTCTTAAATGTCAGTACTGTTTGAAATGTGACTTAAAAAAACATAGTTACCTTCAGATACTGTTATGTGAGGACATTATCGTTAGGTTGCCTTATATATATTTATTTAAAACCACTAAATATTTTAGGTATCCATTCTCTTTGTTGTCTTGGCCGCAGCCAATGCTAGCCTTCTCTTTGCTGGACATGGACACCTAGTCAATACCGGTGTTAGTGCGCGACAACAAGTTCAAGATGTAAGTATTTTTCTTATTTAAAACTAATTGTTGTTAATGTGTTTATTTGAATTTAAAATATTTATGTAATTCTATTAGGGACATGGAAATTACGCTTTTGCTTATGACATCAAGGATGGCAAAGGAGCCACCAACTCGATCTGAAGTAGGAGATGCTCATGGAAACAAGAAGGGATCCTACACTCTCGCTGACCTCGATGGACGAGCAAGAAAGGTTGAATACGTTGCCGATGGACATGGATTCAGAGCTGTTGTCAAGACCAACGAACCTGGTACAGCTCACAGTGCACCAGCCGCTGCNGATGGACGAGCAAGAAAGGTTGAATACGTTGCTGATGGACATGGATTCAGAGCTGTTGTCAAGACCAACGAACCTGGTACCGCTCACAGTGCTCCAGCCGCTGCTGTCATCGCTAGTCCATACGCTGCTCCTGCTGATATCGCACATGCTGCCCCTGCCGTAGTTGGACACGCTGCTGTCATCGCTCCTGCTCATGGTCTCGGATATGGTGCTGGTCTTGGACATGGAGCAGGTCTTGGATATGGTGCTGGTTTTGGGCATGGAACAGGTCTTGGATATGGTGCAGGCCTTGGATATGGTTCTGGTCTCGGATATGGAGTCGGTCTTGGATATGAAGGTGTTCTCGGACATGGTGCTGCTTTAGGTTATGGAGTTGGTAAAGGTCTCGGATATGGCTATGGAGGACATTATTAAACGTTTATAACTTAGGTAAGATACATTTTCCCCAATGTATGTTTAAATATTTAATTCTATACTAATTTTATCACAAAAAAAACTATTAAATAATATTGATTATAACGTTAATAAAAAAAATAACTGCACGACTGTTATTTAAGAATAATTACTATAAATTGACTCGCAAACTGAAAGTCTAATTTTGAACTTATTTTAATTAAAGCAAATAGTTTTAATTGTAATGGCTAAAAGTAATTCCTCAAAACAAAACAAAATATTTTCCTTTTAATATCGCAAATCTTGTTTATCATATACCCTAGGGCCTAGATAAATTTAATTTCCATAACACACGTATATAAAAGTATTTAAAGATGCTGATCTGAAAGCATGTTCTACCTCCTTTTGAAAAAATCTGCATATTTCAGATAATTTAGGGTTTTCTCATCATAAGCTTTGTTCATTCAATATACCTACTTGCAATTAGTAAAATATATGAATATATGAAAATGAATATGTAGTTATCAAAATTTTAACCAGATTATAAATTATAATCAAATAATATATAATCAAAAATGTAATAAATGATTCACCAATAAAAAAAATTAAAAACCTTTTTAAAATTTCCATAGCATATCCAAAAATGAAGCTACTCAAATTTTACAAATATCTTAAATATTAGTTCAATAACTAAAGGATAAATTATTTCATGCTGATTATATTCATTTGCATGCATTTTAGCTAAATAAAGACGCAATTCTTTCACAATAATAATTATAAATAATGAAGAAATAATGCANCTCCTGCTCATGGTCTTGGATATGGTGCTGGTCTTGGACATGGAGCAGGTCTTGGATATGGTGCTGGTCTTGGACATGGAGCAGGTCTTGGATATGGTGCAGGTCTTGGATATGGTGCTGGTCTTGGACATGGAGCAGGTCTTGGATATGGTGCTGGTCTTGGACATGGAGCAGGTCTTGGATATGGTGCAGGTCTTGGATATGGTGCTGGTCTTGGACATGGAGCAGGTCTTGGATATGGTGCTGGTCTTGGACATGGAGCAGGTCTTGGATATGGTGCAGGTCTTGGATATGGTGCTGGTCTTGGACATGGAGCAGGTCTTGGATATGGTGCTGGTCTTGGACATGGAGCAGGTCTTGGATATGGTGCAGGTCTTGGATATGCTGCTGGTCTCGGATATGGAGTTGGTCTTGGCTATGGAGGTGTTCTCGGGCATGGTACAGCTTTAGGATATGGAGTTGGTAAAGGTCTCGGATATGGCTATGGAGGACATTATTAAACGTTTATAACTCAGGTAAGATACGTTTCCCTATTTACGATTAAATATTTAATTCTATTCTAATTATATCAGAAAAAGATATTATGAAATGGTATAAATTATAACGTCAATAAAACAAATAAATCAGGAGAAATCCCAATGAAAATATAATGCCTTATTTTAAATTTTTTACAAGAATTATCTTCGTAAATTTCACGCTTTGTTTTCTTTATATATTTTAATATCTTGTCAGCTGCACGACTGCTATTTAAGCACAAACACTGTAAAATGACCCAATATTGAACTTATTGCAATTTTGCAGCAGTTGCATGCTAACAATATTTTTTTTTCAAAAATTGATTTAATATTTCTTTTAGAGAAAAGATTAGTTGCTTTCAGTAGTACAAAGAGCATACTGGCAATTCTATTTAAGGTCATTGAAAAAAATTTAAATTGAAGCTCTTTTTGGAATTTGAGGATGAGGAACACAGATCATAAACATTAGTAGTTGCAATGATAGCTAAATAAAAATAATCCCACGTGTTCTAGTTTTATCCAATAACGTTGCATTGCATCTTACGAAGAAGGTATTTAGGAAATAATGCTTTGATGCGTACCAAAAAAATTATTTTATATATATATATATACTACATAAATAAATACGAGAAAACACGAAGAAAGTTAAGAAAAACAATAAGTTTCATTTATTGCGCTTAAGCTGCAAGTAAACAGAACTCATTATGATTCAAAAAATTTTAAGGATTATCATAAAACGCTACCAACTTAATTGTAATATTTGAATCTTAGAGCGTTTATCTCTAAGATCTACTTTAAAAAAACTTTTGATGTTTGGTTACTATAATTGCATAATGCATTGCAATTTTAAATAAAATTTCATTCATTTTTTTTAAATATATATATAAACTGTTGTTTGTTATTTTTTACTTATTATTCCCCCCCCCCCTTTTTTTTTCATACGTCTATAATTTTTTTTGTTTTATTCTTCATTTTGAACTTATATATATATATATCAATCTGACTAGAAACATATGTATTAATTTATCTGTTAGCGCAAATATTACATTATACTTTACATAGGGCTTGTGGATTGATTAAAAAATATTTCTTCTGAATGTAAAAACCTTTTTTTTTATTGTTTCGGAAAAAATTGTTTATCTCTTGTGATCCTCACTAAATCTTAATGCAAAGAAAAAAAATTTGTTGATAAAAAGGGAACGATGAACATTTTATGAAAACGCATTACAAGAAAAGTAGAACCAATGTAAAAAGTGTTAAACAAACATAATGATAACATAATACAGCAAAAAATGATAAAATTAAAAACCAAACTTCAGTTAAAATAATCTATTTCAAAAATCTAAAGATATAATTGCAAAGATTCACAAGCACTTTCCAATATAAACATTTTTATTGTATTGATAATTTTTATTTCTGCAAAAAGAATTTTTCAATAATATGTTTAAATTGCTTGAAATAAATTTAACATTGCGATTAGATATGTTAATTAATAGGAAACGTTTATTAAATATAAAGAACCGTTTTTTAAAATGACCGTAATTGTGATTCAGGATTTTATTATAAAAACGTAAACAAAAAATTTATGAAGCAATATTTTTTATTGTAATAGTTAAAAGTAATTCTTCAAATGAAAAGCAAAATATTTTCATTTTACGATTACAAATCTTGTTTATCATATAAATCTAGATAAGTTTAATTTCTTTAAGACACATTTATAAAAGTATTTAACGATTTTGAATTGAAAGAGTATGTTCTACCCTTTTTTGAAAAAATCTGCAATTTTTAGAAAATTTAGGGTTCGTCATCATAAGCTTTGTTCATTTAATATACCTAATTGGAATTAGTAAAGCATGCATATATAAAAATAAATATGTATTAATCAAAATTTTGACATAAATATAAATTATAATAAAATAATATCTAATCAAAAATGAAAATTGTAGTAAATGATTCACCAATAAAAAAATGAACAAAACTTTTTAAAAATCTAAAAGCATGTACAAAAATAAAGCGATTCAAATTTTACAGATATCTTAAATATTAATTCATTAACTAAGGGATTAATAATTTTATGCTTATTATATTCATTTATTCAATATGGTATTTTTGCTAAGTAAAAGAACGACTCTTTCACAAAAATTGATATAAATGATGAAGAAATAGTATATTTTGGCAAAATATTTACTATTTGCAAAATATTTATCAATTTTATTTCTCATATGTATTTTTATTTCTCATCAATTTTATATCTCATTTTTAAATTTCCATGGCATATCCAAAAATAAAGCAATTCAAATTTTACAGATATTTTGAATAATAGTTCAGTAACTAGAGGATAAATAACTTTATGCTTATTTTATTCATTTTCATACATTTCAGCTAAATAAAGTTATGATTCTTCTGCAATAATTAATATAAATGATGAAGAAATAGTATATTTTGGCAAAATATTTACTATTTGTAATATATTTATTAATTTTATTTACTTATAGGTCACTTTAATAGAGGAGGAAATAAGAATGACTTGATTAATAGCTGCATTGTTTACAAGAGTTATCAAATGTCTTCTTCAACATTGCAACTTTCGATTCTCTTCTTATAATGTTTTTGTTTTTCTCTGACTGTCAAAGTTCAAACTGCAAAGACTTGTATCTCTCGTACATGATATATTATGTAAATAAATATTTATTTATTTTAATATCTTGTCAATTTTCATATTGATTCGATTTTTTATCTAAACACAAACTTATTTTTTTAGTTTGAACATTTGGATTGTCAAAAAAAAAATGCTATTGACTGGTAACCTTTACTCCAGTGAATGAAAAAGCAATGTCAAAACTAACAGAATATGGTAAAATTTAACGTGTTTCTGGCTCTATGGGAATAACACAAAGCTCGATAATTTTCACGGAAGTCTTCGGTAATTATTTTTGTTAAGTTAACAATATATATATATATATATACTAGCTGACCAGGCAAACGTTGTTTTGCCATATGAATTATTTCTAGAGTATGAAAATATATCTTATTTATTGTNAAAAAAAAAAAAAAAAAAAAAAAAAAAAAAAAAAAAAAATTTTTTTTTTTTTTTTTTTTTTTTTTTTTTTTTTTTTTTTTTTTTTTTTTTTTTACTGTATATGTGATACAGTTTAGAAATTGTCATAAGATTTGGTAATTTTATTGCGAGATCTTACAGCATGTCACAAGAACTCTTTATTCTGTTAAATTTACTTTTCAGTTTTGTATTTTTTGAAAAAATGTGCGATAAAAAAATATAATTTTGAAAAGAACAATTTAAGGTAAATTCTTACCATATGAACTGGAAAATTACTAGAATGGTTTAAATACCGTATATTTTCATTTTATTAACCAAAATTATGGGTATTATCCCACCAGAAATGTCATTTCCATACAGTACGGCGATTCTACCAAATTTTTATAGGAATCCAGGACAATGCGTCATATATTTCAGCAATATATTTATCTTACATTGCATATCCGTCAGTGATGAAAATTCGGTCGCAAGTTAAACATATCATTATATAACAAAAATAGTTTTCTTTTCCTTTTACAAGAACTACCAAACCTAAAATGCTATAAATCTTTTTTCGTTAAAAAAATTTAAGTGTTTACTCAAAAATAAAATTTACTGTTTTGATTCTAAAATACACGGAGTATTTTACAAACAAACTATGGATTATGTTCATCGCACTTTTTTATTTAATTTTTTTTATTTAGTTTTTTATTATTTCAGATCAGAAATTCTCGGTATTTAACATATATTGTTTACCGTAACGATCTATGTTGGCGCTTTCAAACTAATGATAATTCAGATTAGCACAAATAAATTAACACATTTTAAATATCAAGATTTTTCTAAAGGATTGCACATGCTACAATAAATATGAAACTAAAGTAAAATAAATCATACCAAGTTTTATTTCAGTTAAAAATATTCCACAAACATCCTGCCAGAATTCCTTCCTAACATTCTGTTGTTCAAATAACGTTCTTGTGTTGTTTCCGGCATCGATAGTTTAAAAAGCAATATCTTTGGGGCAACTCCATCAAAGGAATCGGGGATCTTGGTTATCATGTGATCAGGGGTAAATCTCTTATTACGCGAAAGTTGAAAGTATTCTTTTTGAACCACAAGTACCGCAATAATTTAAACGTTTTGTGCAGCTTTAGACATCATTTTTAGTGAGAAACTACCATATGTCTTGAAAACAATTTATTGGTTTGAAGTTTATCGTATAACAATAGGTTGACACATCAAACATTTGAAAATGAAAAAAAAATATTTTTCTTCTGTTTCATTGCTTTTTAAGAAGTTTAGAAAAATAATTAATATATGCTAGAACATATGCCTTTTTCTCCTCATATAGCACCAACTGCAACTTTTTCGATGGTCAGATAAACGAAGTAAAATACTACATAAAATATTGGATACTTTACTGCTAAATACACACATGGTAAAATCAAAAGAAAGGCTTAAAATTATACTTTTATACTACGAAATTTAATTTCTTTCTTTCAGAAGTTTTTCAATGTCGAAACAAATATTGTGTTTAGTCTCTAAAGAAGGTTCTTCAGTACAGAACTAATGCATCTTCTTAAGTGACATTATTCGAGCTCTTCTCACGTGACTTAGCTTCAAACCCAGCACAAAGCCGATACTTTCTTTTCCTTCCAAATTATGTTTTTATACAAAATTTATTAAACAAAATATGCAAAATACATATTGTAAACAATTTATTAAATAAAAGAATTTCTTTTTTTTCCCAAAATTACTATTTAAACGATTTAGACTACTTTTTCAAAGTCTTTTATTTAAAAATCTTTTGTTTTCAAATCGCTGTCAATAAAAACCTGTAAGCTAAGCATCCACTCTGATTACTGATTAATGTTAACCTTATGAAAAAATGTCGATAGTTAATTAACGAGGAAAAGCATTTTGTTATAAATTAATTCGTCAGAGTCGCGGTGGCTCAGGGTAGAGTGCGCTGGACTCCTAATGAGGTGAAGGTTTGAATCCAGATTTTAAAGCTTTTCTTCTTCATGTAGCACAAATGAGGGTTAGTTCGATCAAAAAGACCTCCGCGAAAGCTGAATGGTTTTTCCTATGCTTAATGCAGAAGTTTTTTTGTCTTCTGTGTTGGGTTCAAATTTGAAGGAGTACATAGCTGAACATTGATAGTCGCAAACTCAAAAATGCATCGGATGATCAAAGCCTGATGTAAAATAAAATAAAAAGAATTTAATAGGAATTTGAGATGCCTAAAAGCGAAAACCACTGCTACCTTCTGCTGGTTTTTGGCAATACTGAAGATTTAAATCATGTATCCGTCTATTACAATTGATATTTTATTATAGCATAACGCATGACTAAGGCAAACATATGCATATTAGTAAAGTTGCTGTAGATATTTGCCAATCAAGACTATATTGGAGCAACGGTCAATTGAAGTCAAAAGTGTAATTCCTTTAACTATCCTGCAAAAACCAAAATTATAATTTTTTCTTCGAAAATAAAATTTAAATGGATTGTTGCAGCAAAAATTCGTCAAAGTGGCTAATTTTTAGCATGAAATTTCAAAAGCGACTAATTTTTAGCATCTGTCAACGCCAAATGTGATTGCAATCACAACTGCAGAAGACAATTTGATGATCATGAAACTTAATGAGTTTTTGCTTCAACTCTTTTTAAGGAAAAGAAAGCACTTAAAGCCCTTATGAGGCACAAAAAACAATATAATGAATTAATTTTATAATTATAACCTGCAATCATTAATAATAACCTCATATTTTGGAAATGAGATATATAATGTATAGTAATAGCATTAAACGGTTACAATAGTGTTAATAACAACTGATATTGGAAATAATATTATTAAACATTTTATTTAATAGCAACTGACAATTATTAATAACAAACACACGTTCATAATTATTAATAAAAACCAATAGTTATTATTATTCTTCGTCTGCAATTATTAATATTTACCATGTTTATTATACTGATTAGTAACAATGTTGGTGCAATTATCATGGTTAGTATTATAAATTTCCGAGCTCCATTGGTTTATAACGACTAGTTCAACTAGTAAATTCTTCACTGTTAAGTATTGAAAAAACTATTCACTTTAATAAACATATATTGCTATTATTATTAATCATAAGCTATGTTAGTAATAAAATGAGGTCAATTTTATAACAATTAAAATTGACAGCAGCATAAATATTATTAAACGTTTTTACATCATAATGCCACATCTTTTAGAGCATTACAAGTTTTTTAACTTCTCAACGAGTTGAATTTATTTGTTTACAAAATGATTACTTCATAACGTAAACATGCTTCCTACGCAAAAATTATTTCGAACAGAGATGCAAATGCAGAATTGTAAGGATCTCAAATCGGATTCTATACTGAGAATAAAAGTACTGTCAAAACTACCAAAATGTGGAAAATTGGCCGTGTTCCATCAAAGCTAGGTTCAAAGGATACTTTTTCTCCATCATTTTCAGCAGAATTAAATGCTAGTTTAGTCTTTTTTCTTATCAATCATTAGACGCTTTATATGTTTTAAGAGAAATCGCCGAAATTCTGCGACCAACTTAAGAACATTCTTCACCTGCTGGGCCTACATTTATTTTCAAGTGTTCTAAAACTATCAATAACTCTTTGAAACCTCCATTAAAATTTATTACAGCCAAACAAGATGCAATTTAAACTATTTATGTTGAGAGTACCATTAATTCTTTTTCTTACATAATTCAAGCAATTTATATCAATAAAAAAGTTTAGAAAAATAATATTTTACTAAAATGTTTTGATAGGAGTGATCAAATCCGTTAATCAACTGAGCGCACGAGTTCACTTGTTCAAACTTATCACAGCTCGTCACTCTCGCCATATTGTGCTCTATCTTTTACATTTTTAACCTAATCAAATCAAGATTTTGGGACAATAATCTTAAAAAGATGAACAATCAACACAAGTTTAATTTTTTTCTCTTCATTTTTTGAAGATTTTGTTATGTTGTTTTCCTACAATAGCACAAGTTTAAGAAAAGATTAAATTTTTTAAAAAAAATCAGCTTATAGTTTCTGTAAAAAAAAAACTGTTTACGTCATTTAGCATTAATAGGCATAAAATATTTAGGAAACTACGAGTTTCTTTTCGGATTTTGTGAAACGTCTCATGTGAATTTCCTGACTCTAACTATGTAACAATTAATAAGGACAAATTTATTTTAAGTGTTTAATTATACTTCGAGTTCAATATTCCTGCATTATAACTTCTCTAAATTAAGTTAAGGTCGCTTTTTTATATTAATAATTATTATAAAATACCTTAGAAATTGAAAAGATATACACCCTGAACTAATCTCCGCAACGCAACGCATAATTTTTCAATTTTATTTTTATCTGGGCCAGAAGCGCGGCATTTATTGTCTTTATTTTATTCTAAACTACTTTTCAGGAAGTATTTGTTTCGTCCTTCTCAAGGGTGAGGCTTTATTTTTTATTTTTTTAATGAATATTTTTCCGCTTTTTCAAAACAAGTAGCTCACCAATTAAATTAATACTGACCTTGTGTCATTTGTATAAATAGGTTGTGTTGAGAACTTTTCATATCACAAAAATTCGAAGCACTTAACATGATCTCTAAGGTAAGCAAACATATATCCTAAGTTTTAAAATTTCGCATAAGTTTAAGACACTTATGAATTGTATAATTAAGTATAACTTTTAAATGAAAGTAAGAATTACTTAGATATCTCTTTTTAGTAAGCTTTCGGGAACCCTAAAAAAAGTTTTCTTAGTTAATTTTACAATATCTCAAACAAGAATTATTTTTCCATAATTTTTAGTTTGTTACAGTATAAAAGAAATTTAAATTTTCATTAATGTTTATTTAATGCTCTAAGTTCTTACAAAAGCTTTAAAATACTAATAGTTTTAAGAAAAAAACATACAATTTTATAATTATTATAAAATATAAGAAGTTTTTATCGCAAGGCATTGTGGCACACAACTTTAAAGAAAATTATCAGCATTATTTATTAAAGTGTTAAAATTAGTAAACTTAAAGAATATTTTGTTTATTTTATCATTTTGCGGACAAATTGACTGATGTTGAAAGATAAAAAGCAAAAGTCTTATTTAGAAACTAGTTTAATTTAGAAACTAGTATAATCTGCGAAAAACATTTATTTATATATAATAAAAAAACTATTAGATTATAATTTTACATCATATCCTGTGTTCTCCAAATACTATTTTCATTCATTTTCGTTTTAATAAAAATTTACTATAAACCCTGGTAGCAGAATTTACGGAGTGGATCTGTAGCACTAACTTCAAAAATTCTAATTCATCAGAGTCCTTAACTCATTCAAACGGAGGTTATTATTACAAAAAAGCATCTAAAGAGGATGTAGCGATATTTGCCAATCTAAAAAATTATAAGTTATGCTTAAAAATTATACTTGAAAAATTTATGTTTTTTAATCTCAAGTTTTATTAAATGCAATGATTCTAAATGGTTTGAATAAATTCTTATAGAGTTAAGCTTTTTATCAAGTTACAGAAGAAAAATCTTTTCTTTTTGTTCTCTGCGGTGGACTCTATATTCAGTTTTTAAATTTCAAAAGAAGCAAGTTTTGAGATCTGAGTAATTTCTACTAATTTTATTTTTCTTTATGTAGAAATAGTATTGAAATAACCTGCAGATACTTCTATATAATGTAGTGTTTTCTGTCATACCAATAAATAAAACTGCTGCACTAACTTTTCTTATTAAACTGCATCTATTTTCAGTAAATGGATCTTTTAAATATCAGTACTGTTCGAAATGTTACATAAAATACATAGACGTGAAGAGTTACCTTCTGATACTGATATATGAGAAGATTTTCGCAAGGTTGCCTTATATATATTTATTTAAAACCACTAAATGTTTCAGGTATCCATTCTTTTTGCTGTCTTGGCCGCAGCCAATGCTAGCCTTCTCCTTGCTGGACATGGACACCTAGTCAATACCGGAGTTAGTGCACGACAACAAGTTCAAGATGTAAGTATTTTTCTGATATAAAACTAATTGTTATAAATATGTTTATTCGAATTTAAAATATTTATTAAATTCTATTAGGGACATGGAAATTACGCTTTTGCTTACGACATCAAGGATGGCAAAGGAGCCACCAACTCCAGATCTGAAGTAGGAGATGCTCATGGAAACAAGAAGGGATCATACACTCTCGCTGACATCTATGGACGAGCAAGAAAGGTTGAATACGTTGCTGATGGACATGGATTCAGAGCTGTTGTCAAGACCAACGAACCTGGTACCGCTCACAGTGCACCAGCAGCTGCTGTCATCGCTAGTCCATACGCTGCTCCTGCTGATATCGCACACGCTGCCCCTGCGGTAGTTGGACACGCTGCTGTCATCGCTCCTGCTCATGGTCTTGGATACGGTGCTGGTCTTGGATATGGTGCTGGTCTTGGTCATGGAGCTGGTCTCGGTTATGGTGCTGGTCTTGGACATGGAGCAGGTCTTGGATATGGTGCAGGTCTTGGATATGGTGCTGATCTCGGATATGGAGTCGGTCTTGGATATGGAGGTGTTCTCGGGCATGGTTCTACCTTAGGATATGGAGTTGGTAAAGGTCTCGGATATGGCTATGGTGGACATTATTAAACGCTTGTAACTTAGGTAAGATACATTTTTCCCATTGTATGTTTAACTATTTAATTCTATACTAATTATATTACAAAAAAACTACAAAAATAATATAAATTATAACGTTAATAAAACAAATAATTGCACGGCTGTTATTTAAGCACAATCACTAAAAAGTGACTCGCAATTGAATTTATTCAAATTTTGAACTTATTCTAATTAAAGCAATAATTTTTATTGTAATGGCTAAAAGTAATTCCTCAAAACAAAACAAAATATTTTCCTTTTACTATCGCTAATCTTGTTTATCATAAAACCTACATAAATTTAATTTCTTTAGCACACATATATAAAATTATTTAAAGATGCTAATCTGAAAGCATGTTCTACCTCCTTTTGAAAAAATCTGCAATTTTCAGATAATTTAGGGTTTGTCATCATAAACTTTGTTCATTCAATATACCTATATAGTAAAATATATGAATATATAAAAAGAAATATGTAGCTATCAAAATTGTAACCAGATTATATAATATAATCAAATAATATATAAACAAAAATGTGGTAAATGTTTCACCAATAAAAAAATTATAAATCTTTTTAAACTCCTACAGCATATCCAAAAATTAAGCGATGCAAATTTTAAAAATAATTTAAATATTAGTACAATAACTAAAGGATAAATAATTTTATGCTAATTATATTCATTTGCATACATTTTAGCTAAATAAAGATGCAATTCTTTCCCAATAATAATTATAAATAATGAAGAAATAATGCATTTTGGCAAAACTTTCTCTATTTACAATACAGTTATCAACTTTGTTTATTTATAGGTCACTTTAATGGAGGAGGAAATAAGAATGACTTGATTAATAATAGCTGCATTGTTTACGAGAGTTATCAAATGTCAGTTTCAACATTGCAACTTTCGATTCTCTTCTTATAATGTTATTTTTTTTCTCTTCCTGTTAAAGTTCAAATTGCAAAGATTTGGATCTCTCATTCTTGATATATTATGTAAATAAATATTTATTTATTTTTATATTTTGTCAATTTTCATATTGATTCGATTTTTTATCTAAACACAAACTTATTTTTTTATTTGAGCATTTGGATTGATACAAAAAAAATTGCTTTTGATCGGTAACCTTTACTAAAGTGAATGAAAAAGCATCGTCAAAACTAACAGAATATGGTAACATTTAACGTGTTTCAGGCTCTATGGGAATACCATAAATCTTGATAATTTTCAAGGAAGTCTTTGGTAATTATTTTCGTTAAGCTAACAATATATATATATNAAGCGCAAATGGAGTTAAAAGCGTAAATAGAGGACTTTTATTTCATAGCGGGTTCTTACTGCAGTACTAAAGCGTGTTTGATCTGTTATTTACCAAGGATTGGCCAGAAAATGAATATGAGTGAGGCAATAATATTATACTAGATAATAAATACATATATATATGTATATATATAATATGTAATACAGTTTAGTAATTATGATAAGATTTGATAATTTTATTATGAGATCTTACAGCATGTCACAAGAACCCTTTATTCGGTTAAATTTACTTTTCAGTTTTTCATTTTTTGAAAAAATGTGAGATAAAAAAATATAATAATTTTGAAAAGGAACAATTTAAGGTAAATCCTTACCATATGAACTAGAAAATTATTAAATGAATGGTTTAAATACCGTATATTTCGATTTTATTAAGCAGAATTATGGATTTTTCCCACCCGAAGCACTTCCATCACGACAAGCACCTTGTCAGAATTCCTTCCTAACATTCGGTTGTTCAAATACTGTTCTTGTGTTGTTTCCAGCATCGATAGTTTAAAAAGCAATATCTTAGGGGGAACTTCATCAAAGAAATCGTTGATCTTGGTTATCATGTATCAGGTTATCTTGGTTATCAGGGGTAAATCTCTTATTATCCGAACGTTGAAACTACTCTTTTAGAACTACAACTACTGCAATAATTTAAACGTTTTTGTTCAGCTTTAGACATCCTTTTTTGTGAGACACTACCGAATGCCCTGAAAACAATTTACTGATTTGAAGTTTATCGTATAACAAAAAGTTGATACATCAAACATTTAAAAAATTTTAAAAAAAATATTTTTCTTTTTTTTTAAATGATTTAAATACATGTAAAAATTTTGAAAGTATAATTATTTAAAATTCGGCCATTCAACTCTGTATGTATAGCGTTTATACATGTAATTATTATTTGCAATTTTTTAATAGCTTAACTAATATTAGTACTTTAAAAACTCACGCTGTTTCTTAGTAACGGTCTAAGTATTAGTATTGCATCAATGTAACGTTAATACTTATAAAACAATTAAATCTCGTTGACTAAATTAGGTTTTATAAGAAATTAACCAAATAGTAGAAAGAATCTAGATTTATTTTCAAAATATATAGATTTATCAAATTTTAAAAATACAAATTCTCAGGATACTTCTCTGGATTTAGGATTCTACGAATTCTCAGGATACGAAAAGTCTTAGGAACTTCAGTTACCGATTTTGCTGATATTATGTATTTTGCCATGTAAAATTACTTTCTTCAAAATGACGTAAAAAAATTGTATATCTTGCAATTAAAAAATTTTCGACTATTATGAAATAAAATAATAGAAAATAATAAATATTTTTTGCATGCAATTATTTTTGGATAAACGAATCTTATAGTTGCGTGTAAAACATTTCAGTTCGTTTAAAAAGTTCTCGAGATATAGCGAAATGTGCAGAACGTATTACCATTAAGAGGTAGATTTAATTTAAGACGCATAAGTAAAAAATATTTATTTTAAAAAGGTTTAAAATAACATTGAAAACATAAATTCAAAATGAAATGCATGACATTCTGCTGTTAAAAAGAGCATTAAAATTTATCTAATCAATAGAACTCGAATTTTTTTTATATATAACGTCATATCCTTACTCTGCTACTTCTTAAAATTTGAATATAAAAAAATTAGCTAATGTATTAACTTTTGAGGCTTAATTGGTAAAAAAAATATTACGCTGTAACTTTGATTGTAATTCATTCTATACTTTAACTATAAAATCAATAAGGTAGCACAGAATTAGACCTTCAGAAACTATTAGCTGTTTAATTACAACTAACGCAACACGTAATATTTTAAAACTTAAATCATTTGGGGATGATTTAAGGATGGAAAGGACGGGCAGAACGTCGATAACATGACTCCATTACTGCAGATTTTGAAGCAATCAGGGTAACTTAAATGGCAAGATCTTGCACTCAAGGAAAACTGCAAAAAAAAGAAAAGGCCCACCCTGCTGTCGCACTAGTGATGATGATGTTTTTAACTTCTCAATTCAGAGAACTATGTACTACTTACAAGGGAAACTAGGGAAGTGTGACTCGCCAATTTTGAAATAAACTAGTGGGATGTATGCCTTATGAGGAATAATTTTAGGGGGCAACATTCGTTTCGGCAAATAGAAGGTCCTATGAGAGATAAAAAATAATTCAATATATAGAAAAATCGATATTTTATTACTTCAATGCAGACTATTACTTATTGTAATTGTCTCATACTCCAATTAATTTTGTGGTACTTTCACGTACTATATAATGCATATTTATTATTAAAATTGATTTTGAAAATTTTATATATCTGTAGTTTTTCAGAAAAACCTGTTAGGTTAATTTTAAAAAAAAATTGACATCAAGTTTTTTTAATTTTTTTTATTTAAAAAACTTTCCAAATTAATTGGAGTATGTAATTGCAAATCAATTAATTAATTAATAATTCATTAACAATTAATTAATAATTAGCAATTACGAAACGATTAATTAATTTTCTGAATAATTTATTAATTAGCAAATTAATTAATTATCCAATTAATTACAAATTAATTGGATTATGAGACAATTACAATAACTAATAGTCTATGGTGAGTCACACTTCCCTAGTTTCCCTTGTTAGAGACAATTTCTCCCACATTACAGAGAAACCTCCAGGAAAGGCCACCTCTATGTTGCGACCTCATCTACATAGCGACCTTTTTTGGGAGGCGAGGAGTTCTTTCCATAGACTTTGTGTTGAAAAACACCTTTAGGAAAGAGTATCAAAAATCTCCCAGTGATCAAGCAAAACCTCTGAACCAAGTGCGGAAATGGTTAAAAAAAAAAGGAAACACTAAAAACTATCAAAACAAAAAAATGTTAACAGAACAAATTAGAATAAAATATATTCCAAATATTTGTGTAAAGCTCTTTTTTAGTGAGCTCTTTTTGACGATCTTTGAAAGTGATCGATGGAAGTCAGAGCTCGCCAAAGACGATAATTCAATTTTAAACAGAAAGTTCAATTTAAAAAAAAAATATTTGAAGAAAACTAAGCATTTCACACAAATCAACCTCTTCTTATCTTTTAAAACAAACAAATTTTTATGATATAAAATTAAATTCAAATTTAAACAAAAAAAACATTATTTTTTATTAATTCAAAGTAGATCCATCATTCAGAATTGGGGAATTTGTGTTTACGCATAATTATATCAGTAGATTGACGCTAACTAAACTTAAAATCACTAAAATAAACTTAAAATTTTGGCACTGACTAAAATTAAAATAGTTTGATAAAATTCATGCTACATTGTATATTTCGATATCAATTGAGGTAATCTCTCTAAAAACGAGCATCCTCAACAACTATTTTACTGTGGAACGGAGAATAGTCGTTCTGGAGAGGTTTTACTATAGTATCTTTTGAGAGAAATCTGAAAAAAAATTGATTTTTCTTTTGTTTGCTAAATAAAATTACTCAGTTTAAAAACATAATTGAATAGTTATACGCTATCATCCTTTTTCCACCCTTAATTCTTAAACCCAGTTTGATCTCCCTTACTCATCGATAAAAACATCTTTTATTAAAAATATTTTCAGATACTTGAAGCTCAGTAATTCTAAACCATGAAATCTTTCTGTTTAATTTAGCTGTCAAGATTTTCATTGCTTTTTAAGAAGTTTAGAAAAATATTTACGATGTATGCTAGTACATATGCTTTTTTCTCATCATATAGCACATACTGCAACTATTTCTGATAAACGAAGTAAAATATTATATAAAATATCGGATATTGATGATATAAAAAAAGTAAACCTTACTGCTAAATACATACATGCTAGAGTCGCAAGAAAGGCTAAAATTTATACTTTCGAGCTACGAAATTTAGTTCCTTTCTTTTTCAAGCTTTTAAATGTCGAAACGAATATTGTGTTTCGTCTCTAAAGAATGTTCTTCAGTACAGAACAGCTGCTTCAGTTGCATTGTTCTAGCTCTTCTCATTTGGTTTAACTTCAGACTGAGCACAAGCTAATACTTTCTTTACTAACAAAATAATGTTTTTTTATGCAAAAATTATTATCTGGAATACATAGTATACAAAATTTATTAAACTAAAAAGAATTCTTTGCACAAAATTACTATTTAAGTGATTTAGACTACTTTTTCAAGTCTTTTATTTAAAAATCCCTTTTCTATCGCTGTCAGTAAAAACTTGTAAGCTAATTATCCACTCTCATTTCAGATTAATTTTAACCTTTTGAAAAGAAGTCAATAATTAAATAACGAGCAAAAGTTGTTTTTTTTTTAAAATTAACTTATCAGAGTCGCTACGGCTCAGGGTCAAGTTCACTTGATTTCTAATGAGGTGACCGGGATTCGAATCCCGATTTTCAAGATTTTCTTCTCCATGTAGCTCAAATGGGGGTTAGTTCCGTCAAACAGATCTCCACAAAAGTTAAATAGTTTTTCCTGTGCTTAATGCAGAAGATCTTTTGTCTTCTGTGTTTGGTTCAAATTTACAAGAATACATAGCTGAATATTGATAATCGCAAACCCAAAAATTGCGTTGGATGTTCAAAGATGGATATAAAATAAAATTAAACGAATTTAACTGGAGTTTTGCGACACATAAAAACGAAAACCACTGCAAATTTTTGCTGGTTGTTGACAATACTGGAGATTTAAATCATGTGCCCGTCCATTACAATTG